ATGACTGAGAAGTTGAGCTACAGGTGTCAATCAAGGTTTCACATCTCCGCCCAGTCCAGCCTGCTTCACAGATACATGTGTAATCATTGACCAGATTGTCACAGCGCTGACTGTGGATACAGGGATTACTGTCACAGCTGTCGATACTCTCCTGAAACAGAAATGATATTCAATGGAGTTTTACGTCCATGACCATTCTGAACGCTTACGATTGATAATCTGAAATGGAGTTGCATGTTTCACGTTTCTATCTCAGACGGTATAGAATCTAGTGAAATATAACTGAAAATAAAGAAAGACAAACGTGTACATTGGATTGTGTAAAATGTAAATCAAATGGTATCGACGCCTTAATCTATGCGAAAAACAAAACTAAGAATGTCACAAAAAGTCATTTTGTGAGATCTAAGGATCTGTGAAGGACCTATCAGTAAGTACATGATAGTATCTCATGATCTGATCTTGAAGTTGATCGGTATTGTATGGCCTCATTTTTTACCCCTTTGTAATACAAACATCATTATTATTATCATTAACTTACACCACATGTAGCTCCTTTAAAACCAGGTTTACATTCACATCTGGAGGTAGTTGTTCCAGTATTAATACAGTTGGCGGTATTCAGAGGATTACAGTTGTTCTTATCACAAGGTACTGGACCATTCTGACATCTCGAACCTATAACAGAATCTTCTCATTTATTATATCAGAAAGAGTTTTAGTCGTTGAAGAATTTACTTTACCAGCTGATAGAGCACAATTTCAGCTATCTGTATAGTCATCTAAATATTTACTTTACCAGATGATAGAGCCCAATTTAAGCTATCTGTATATTCATCTAAATATTTACTTTACCAACTGATAGAGCTCAATTTAAGCTATCTGTAATCGTCTAAAAATTTGCTTTACCAGCTGATAGAGCCCAATTTCAGTGATCCCTCGCTTAATGATTGATAAAAACGCCACTGTAAGGTATTTGTCCAGAAACCCACCTGTGAAGTCGTTCTGACACTGACAGCTGAAAGATCCCGGTGTATTTATACATTGTCCAGTATTACAGTCAATACTGAGATCTGTACATTCATTAATATCCTCGCTACACTGTAGTCCCCTGTAACCAGTCTTACATTTACATGTCACTACATCTCGATCAACATGACATACATGGTTGGAATCGCAGGATTCTGAGCACAAGTCTTGTCTCTTACATTGGGTGTCTTTAAACACTGAAATAAGAAAGATTAAATGGAATAAAGCTTAAATTGGTTCCTATTGTCGTCTCCATTGAAATCTAACAAGTTTACTGTCAATCAAAGCAAAGTTATTTTATTTGTAAGTGAAGAAGGCATATAGACGGGTAGCTAGGTAGATGACAAGTTAACATTCAGTTAGCTTTCTAAACCTCTGACTTACTGCTGTATAGACACGTAGACATGATAAGTACTAGCAACTCTGTCTGGACAATTTAGATTTTGAAGCATCCCTCGTTAGTGAGGATGAATAAAAACCCAAGTACTAACGATCCGAACCTCAGAACTAAACCCAAAATCCAAAACAACATCTTGGCAATACATTGGTAGCAGCTAATGAACTGTTCACATGAGGGGGTATATCAATTATAAAAGAGGAAGTATTTCATAATGAAAAGTGGCATGACTTTACCTCTGCTGAGACTACATCTATATCTGACTTCCA